TGATTTAATTTATAAATGTGTTAAATCCTGTAACTCTATGATTATATACAATATGTTTGTAGCTTACAGTATGTATGACTTTCCTTGCTACTCTGCATTTTCATTTTCATTTCCTTCTTTAGTTTTTTACTGGTTTGGTTTGAATTTTGTCTTGAATTGACATGAGTCAGCAGTAATCAGTGTCATAAGCACCGCTGGCACCACTCACATTAGGTAGAAATAGGTGTTGGGTGGTGCAGAGTGGTGTAGGGTGAGGTGTAGTGTGGCTTGTTCACACAGAAGATAGTGTTTGTACCAAAATGTTTGTCTCTGTGCGCCATGCCATTTAATGGAATAAATGAGAGAATTCTGACACATCTTTCAGAGTAAAAAAGCACCTTTGTTTGGAACAAATTCCACATCAGGAAATCTAAACAGTTTAGAGTACACACTACCTGAGCGTGAGGGGGTGCAAGCAGTGTGGCTGCCATGCCCATGCCATCTGGGGGCCTGGGCTGACCCTCAGGACAACATGAATGTTCAAATAATATAAATTAACAATGTATAATAATGCTAAGTTAGTTGAGGGATGAATTATGTGCTATTATTGAGGTTATCACAATTTTACCTCCTCATAGGTTATAGCCACACCACCCACGGAGCATGCCAAGTTACATAAATCAAACACACCCTCCCAGCATTCACTGATGCGAAAGTTTAGTTAGCTTCAGGAAAAACACTTTGGTGTTTTGATTCAAAATGCCACAGGCATACAAAGGCAAGAGTGGTGCTCAAAGAGAACGGAGGTGCGAGATCCCCCTTGAGCAAGCACTTGGTGACAGTGGGGAGGAAAAACTCCCTTTAACGGAAGAAACCTCTGACAGACCCCGGCTCTTGGTGGGTGGCCTTCTGCCTCGACCGGTTGGGGTGAGTGGATAAAGGAGAGACAAAAGAAGAAAAGCAACAAGACACAACAATCAAACACTGATCAGGTCGATGTGGCTGGTGACTGCTCGTCAGAGACATAGAGCTCCAGGGCCAGGGCAACCTGCAGAAAGGTACAGGGAGAGAGAGAAGACACACTACGGGGGAGAGGAGACACAAAGTTAGTGATGTGTAATGGTGGCATATAGAAGCATAGGGAGAGAGAGGAGAGGAGAG